ATTAAGAGGGTGGGATAGTTACAGGACGATAAATCGCTCAAACATTTGACTAATTGCCTAGTATGGATTTTAGAGCACTTTGGAGTTCTATATGCCAAAACGATTCTATTTTTGCCTTCCTAGGGTCATCATGAATTCAAAAGGAGACGAATGTGGTCGTAGGAGACAGTAAATCAAAAGGATGCTAAAAATACCACACTAGCGTACGATCAGCAGAAGCCAAGAAGGTCTCACTCCAATACCTTGACACTAATCTCTTCGTCGCACTGCTTTTCCAAGAAATGATAGAAGATGGGTCGGTCACTTAGATAAGATGAACATAATTTTTCACCAAGCCAACTTTTTTCGACCCATTGTTCCATAAATCTCCTTGACAAGCCTTAGGTTGATCTAGCCCCCCAGTTTCATTCTGTCGGACATTACATGTTAATTACTCTTTCAATTCTCTCAATCAAAAAATGCGTGAAGAGGTGCAGGCGTCTGAGCCATTCATCAACTTGTGCGCCATCAGCTTTGAGTCGGCGGCAGGCTGTTTCTACTTCGCTGCACCTCGCATTTTCAATAAAATCAAAAAGTGGAGTGTTTGTGTTGTATCGCATCGGGTAGATCGAACTAAGTCAAGGGTCAGAACTCACTCAATGAGCTCTTATCTAAGAATAACTTAGAAAAGGAGCCAATCAACCTGTAGCGGTGTAATATCAAGCAACTGACGGCGAACTCCAACATTACAACGAAGTATGTGAAATAACATAAGAAGCGTGCAAACATAACAATTCCGGGAGTGGTGACACGTTAATGGCTGTTCTACATCAACTTTGCAATGAATGAGTAAAGCATCACTAAGCCCACTAATCCTAACCATACAGTCCACTAGAAGTGAGTAAGAAAAACCGTACCGGTACTGTGTTGCTTTTGAAGTGGAGGCTGCTTGCGTATAGGCACCAATATCACATTTTCCAATGGTATTCCGTCCCTACCGCATTCACACGAACAATCCGCTGGGCCAGCAGACCGAATGCCATCGGAATCACGGCAACAAACTCCACGATCACTTGCAGCTCCGATGCATACCACACAAACAATGAAGACTAGGAAAGATCCGATAAGAATCGCTAGGAGACTATGATGGAATAGCATCGAATCCATCGGCCACTCGAAAGTTCGGCTATTCAACCTGGAGGCGGGACATAAGCTGGGCAGGCGCGGGTCCGACTAGACACGCCTCCAGGGTGGAAGTAATAGGTGGGTTCACCTCCTCTTAATTCAGAAAATACGCAATAATTCAACTAGTCGAGAACTGACGTCGATGAACTTCAAATAAACGTACACGTGAAGCCTGACATGAAGAGAGCTTGACTCACCGTTCTCACGACTTTAACTAGAAAGAGCTATGGCTACCGCTAATTCGTTTACCCATAGTATTCATGGCCGCCATTCAAAGTCTACAGCACATTACCGGACAGAGCAATCTGCTGCACGTGTACAAGAACATGCTGTCAAACCGAAAAGTGATATCCATTTTACCGGAACATATATGTGTATATCATGAGTCCTTTTGGAGCCCCACAAAAAACACATACAATTCCTTATTTCTCTGACGATTATAATCCTTGGATCCTTGGAGACCGATTATAACCAAACGGCCTCGCTATATTGCAAACAACGCCATCATATTCTCTTTATTGATGATTATGAGCGCTCTGAGTGGCTGGTTTCAGCGAAGACTGGTTTCTGTCTACTGTTTTTCTCTGAGCCTAGACATCGAAACACAAAATGGTTTCTAGTTAAAAATGGAAGGCTCCGCTGAAAGAGAAAGGAAACGGGACAAATAGCAAGAGCGAGTGAGTAAGGTCAGAAATCAGTTCACCACCATCAAGATCAATGCGCTCTTGAAAGTTCTCTCATAACGAATCGCTAGAATTCAAGAAACACAGGCAAGATCCTCTGTAGTGCCACACTTTGAAGNCAGACAAAGAGTAGCTTATATGGGGTACGCGCTTTACTTGTTCAACCGACTATGCCATGGCTTGATGATTGGAAGAAAAACTTCCTGCAACATCGAAGGAAATGAATACGTTCAATATGACTTCAAGGAAAATTCGAAAAAAGGGTGTGGCGGTCAAAATAGTTGCATCCCATGATAGCTCAACTTTATTAAATATTCAATCTTGTACTCTTAATCTTTACAAGCTACACAGGGTTGTGCGAAGTTAGAATAAGAGAGAAAGTCAAGCACAGACGCTTGATAGTCGCCCCCTACTCGAGGGACATCCAGGAGCCCCTTGCCCCTCAGCAATATCCAGCAGAGATAATGAAGGCTGGTGGCAGCCACTGAGACCCAAGAAAACGACCATTACTCGGCAGAAGCCAGAGCGAGTTTGCGAAATTGGGTGATCGGGAGAAATACACGAAAAAAAGGATTTCTCGACAAAAAAAAAAGGACTTTAAAGAGAAAAATGCAAAATAAGTAATATGTTGAACAGCAAGAAAAGGAGGTGGAGAAGTGATTTGGTCTCATGGAAGCAAAAACTTCCCGTTCTACTATACCCTTTTACCAAATCTTCTAGTTCTTGAACGATATTTAAACCTTTTTTCGAATTTTATAACGAAAACATGGCTTCCCAAAGCTTTGACTAGAAAGGAATTTCTGCAGATGGGTGAGAATTCTAGCAAACCACTGGAATACTTTACTTGAGAGAGCAGCCATGCTGAACTTTCCCTCTTAATGATTGAACCCACCAGTCCTCATTCCGCAACAAATCCTTTACATAATAGTCATCAGTCATGTAGGCTTCCATTGAAGACTCCTCTTCGCCATCCATATCTGAAAAAAACTGAAGCTAATCCTCACATCAGTCTTCAGGCTCAACGAACCATAGAATACTGAGTTCTTTATGCCATGAGCAAAACAACTTTGTTGCGAGAGAGCCGAACCCGTCGTTATCCTACTCGTTGACTACCTTGGCTATCTTTACCTTTTGGTAAATATACAAAAAAGGATAGGAATGTAGCAACTTCTCAAGGCCTCGTTCGAATAAAAACGAGCCATGATCGCGCTACATATACCATAACCTTAGAATAAAGAATTTTGTCCCGCACTCACCCTCGAATGTGCTATTTGGAAAAGATTACATCGACCAAGATTGGGCATAGCCAAATTTTCGAGTGCAGGAACTGTTCCAAGTTTGCAGCACTAACAGGTCACAAAACGCGTCATGGCTGTGTCCAATCGCTTCAGTATGAAATGAGGTGTACATAGGGCTAACCACGAACGATCCATAGAATAAACCTTCATTACTAACTCAATCAAAAAAAAAAAAAACAAGTTAAAATAGTAATAGTGAGTATCGCTGTGGCAATTCTACCAGTGGAAAGTTAAAACAGAATAACTTCAGAAAAATTATGTATTCTACCATTTTGACTAACAACGTCAGTACACTTCGTGTCCTAAACTGTAATTTCGGCGATAAATACAAAATCAACCAGGCAACAAGCGATGCTGAGAAAACGATAAAATCATTTGCATGATGTCATTAGCATCGAAAATAAACGTTGTCACAATATCCAAGAAAATTAAAGAACATATTGACCCAATATAAGATACATGAACATGGCAATGTACAAGAACCGATTGTAGACTAAACGCTGAACCATCCCTGACCACTATAGCACTTGCTACTATTGAATTAAGTGTGCGTGTACAATGCTGAACGACTGGGAACGTAGGTAATATCCA